GACCCACTAGTTTGTGCAAAGGAGGAGAGATGAGGAGCGATGAGAGGTAGGTGCCTTCATCCCTTTGGATGGGACACCTTTCCTGAGGCATATGGTGCACTCATTCAAATTCCAAGCGCAGCACAAATGCAAAGAATAATTGCCCATTAAAATGGCTGTATATTTTTATGGGTTTGATACAAAATCTGCCCCCTGTTGTTTTTTGCATCTGCTGCTCTTCCATCTATCCCAGAGCTTTAAAACTTTACTACACAGTGTATAACCCTTAAGTATTTTTTACCAGATTATATTCCTCCTTCTGGGAACTCCAGCTTTGCCGTTGTTCCTTCCGTCTTTGTTTTCCACGGCATATGTTGAGATGTGGAGCCTAGAAAGTGCACCTACCTGTCATGTTCATTGAATAAAAAATTAATACAGCCAACGCTTATGTTACATCTCTTGGGTGAAATTAAAATTTGATTAAACTTCATCTGTGAACATAAAGATTAAGTTCCCTTTCTTTTCCTCATGTTTGTATTTGGTGTTTATGTAAAATCATTACTTACCTGAATTTCACCAATATACTAACATGAATCCTGCTAATTCCAAAGGGCTTTTTATTTGCCTTTTAAAATTTCCTTTATTTATTTTGCTTTTTATTTTTTTGAGGTCTAAACTGAAGTTAGATGAAGGAGACACCCTAATAGTGTTTCCAGGTGTGAAAAAGAGGGAACTTTTTGGACAGTATTCATTCTAATAATATATCTGTATAAAAATATATCTTCCTCAATATAAAAATAGAACAAATAAGTTTAGAGAAGGAGTCCTACCAACATAATGTTCCTAAAAAAATTTAATTGAGGCTGTAGTACAAGATGATTTGTATGCTTTTATGTAATTACGTTGAGCAAAGCCAAGAACTTCCACAGCATATTGTTTTCACTCTTTTTTTAATTTGAAAAAGTAAAATTGCATTTCTGCTATCATTTGGTTTGGAGAGTTATTTCTTTGCAGTTGTGGCTTTCGGCAACAGGAGGAACTGAGTTTTTGTTGTTGTCATTGTAGTCTCATTCATATTTGAATAGCTGAATAAATAACTATAGAACTGATGGGTCCATTAGATGAGAATGTAAATTGTTTCTTTAATTATATATAGTATGTAGTCCTTAGAAGAAGTTTTGGGGTTTTTTGTGTTTTGTTTTTTTGTTTTTTAAATCTCATACCATCAATGTGTGGTTGGAGAAATCTGCCTTTTCTCTGTCACAGGTGGGAAGAATTCCAGTCATCAAATTGCTTTGATAAATTTAAGGTACTTTTGCTTAGAAGAGGACTCAGCTGCTTCCCTGCAGAGAGTCAAACACATTTTCAACCCCCTTCTAAATAGCATTTTCACTGACTGAGATTCAGCAGTTTGGCACTGAGGCCCTGAGGAGGGTTTACCTACAAACTGTAAGTTGTTAAAATCTTTACCCCTCCTGGCTAGTTTATTCCTTACCTTTGGGGCTGGTTAATAGCACTTAATGCTTTCTAATGGGAGAGCCCTTTTCATAAAATTGTTTTTATGAAGTCCATTCTTCAGTTGTGTTCTAATGGTGCCACTTCTGCTAGTTGTTTTGGGGTGAGGATATTAAAAAGTTGGTAGCAAAATAAATTCTGTGGTTGCCACATATTCCTAACCGTCTGATTTCTCAGCTGCGCGGAGGTATCGTGATTTTTTTCTGCTGAACTCAAATCTAGGGTCACATGGTCTTGTTGATCATTTTAACCTCTAATCTTGATCTTTAATAATATTATCTGGAAATAGAAGGCATGTTTTCAGATACTCTGATTTTGTGACTGACCCAAGTGAATTTTTTGGGATGGATATAATTAACTCTGCTATTAGACCTCACTTGATCATAAGACCTTGCAATGCTACTCTTGGTTCCGTGTTTCTTGGGTTTGGTTTCCATCATGTCTTATCTTCCTGACAGCACTCCAAATCACTGCTCTGCCTTCTGTTAATTTCTTCTACAACCTTTTTTGGAGTTTTGCTTTACTCTGGGCATTTTATGCTTCATGATTTTATTAAGGAGATAGTGCAAAGCAAGCATAGCATAACATTTACATTAATTCAGGCTTTTCATTCCAACATATCGTTTGTGTTGCAGATTCGTCAAAAGTGGTAGAAATAACTGCCTTGTCTTAGCATCTTTCATGAATGCTGAGCCTCCGTTATGGCATCTGGACTGGGTTAAACACTTAGGAGCTAAGTGACTCTTTCTGCTAGTCTGTCTTGTAGCTTTTTCTCCTCTTTCATAAGATAAAGCCTTCTTTCTCATAAAAGTGTGATATTATTTTGTAAAAATATTTTATCTTCTTGTTTACTTATTCATTAATGGGGGCGCTCTGCTTTTCCAGTGACGCTTCTTTATAGAGGACCATTCTGTGTCAAAGTATTAAGGTCAGTGACCCTTCTTGTAATTCTTTCAGAGGTGTGACTGCCACGGAGAATAGAGATTCTTTAGGATAAATGTTCCATTATTGCAAAATCTGTGTGTTCTTCATACCCTGTGTTTGGACATGAGCAAAAGCTGGATGTCTAGAGAGAAGTTGCAAGACTGGAGCTAGTGTGTAGATACATAGTTCTCTGAAAATTCGGATAGCTTTCTACGATTTTGAGCGGTTTTGTAAACCAGAGGTGATGTCTTTATACTGTTTCTCTGCAGGGAAACTTTGTTCCTCCTTTTCAATCCTATGAACTTTTAAACTTTCTCCATCTATAACATCCAATCGCAGAACGTTCCATGACAGCTTAATTAGAAGTTGTGTGAGGAGCCCACTTTTGCCATAATTTCTGCATTATTCACGGTTGTGGAGCTTTGTCATAGCTCCCACAGTCGCATCCTTCCCGTGCTGACGAGTACTAGTCCGCTTCATTGTGTCTTTTACAGAAGTACCAGACATGTTTACAGCTGTGATGAGTGACCGTTTCAAATGTTTGTCGTGCACACCACCGAATTTCAAGCCCATAGAGGAAGTCTCCAGCCTGTGGCATTCAGAAATGCATTCTCTAAGGGCCAGGAGGGAACCATGATGCCATAATGTCAACCTCTCGTGTTTTTCTCATGTATTGCTAACTTTATGAAATTTTATTAAAGCATTGCACCTTTTATTTATCTATTAATATGGGAAGACGGTCCAGTCTTCGCAAAGGAGCTACAGCACAGACTGCAGATCTTTTTTACTGTAGCATTTGTGTATATCCTCAATCCTCTGAAAATTCTTTTACACTTTCATGTGCATGTTGTACTAATTTGTGCTCAAGACTTTACTTGGAAAGGAAAAGGACCGAAGTTACACGGTCTGAGCAGTAATTCCAGCGCTACTGTATTTATACGGTTCAATACTCAATGTTATCGCCTATGCAAAAGTGTTTACAGCTTATGTATACTTACTTAATATCACTATACAATATGTATGTTCATTTCTCTCTAAAAAAGAATGTTTTCTATGACTAAGGCCTCTTAAATACGGTTGTTTGCAAAGCTGTCAATGGTGTATTGAGATTTGCCAGTTCGTCATTCTGATTTTGAGATGTTTACAGAAAGAGGAATAAAAATACAGTATTTGTACTTTTAACAAGACTTTTAATTTATTTGTATTGCCATAAAGTTGTTTCATATTGTATCACTGACATGCAAATCTTTGCAGAATTACTGTATAACCTTTTTGTCAGAGAGAAGGGCCTAGCAAAGCCCAACAGCCACAGTAATAAGGCAATAATGGAGCAGTCACCCTAATTACAGTATTTGCTTTCACATATTCTACAAGTTGTGAATTTTTCATTTTCTTTTTCAAATTCAAGGCTTCCTTTAAAATTTAATGCTAAAGCAGATGAAAGACAAATGTGGATTGAAATCAGTTCATATTTCAGACATGAGAACCTTACTGTTTTATACATCATTACTTTATTTGCTTGCCTCTTATTAGGGCTTTGCTAAGCAATGTTTATTTCTTTTATCTTTTTATTTACATACTGAAAAAAATTCGACACAGTGAAGCACAACTGAAGTAACCTGAGTGCCAACAGAGCTGGATTTACTTTTCTCTGTCTCACTGATTAATTAATTCAAAAAATACTTAGTCTAGCATTGGCTAGCAATGTATGTACAAAGGAGAAATGAAGTAATAAAGTATTGGTTAAAATCCTGGCAGAGAAAGTAAAGTAGAAAAGTTAGGGAGTTTTATTATTTTTCAATTAAAAAGCTGTAAAGAAAAGTTTTACAGATGTTTTACAGAAAGAAACCTCGAAGTAGTACTGTATTACTGATCAGTTTCTGATTAAAATATTCTGCATGTCACATGGAATGGTAATTAATGTTTACACGTAGTTGCAATGACAATATAAAAATGTCTTGTTGCATGTCTAAATTGTTTTTATTGAGTCTGAATATTATCTAAATTCAGACAGATATTTCAAAACTATGGAACTCTTGCCTTTGAAAGAATAACAAGTACTGTTATGAACAAGGTAAACCCCTCCAAACCTGAGGAAACTCTTGCTCTGTCTTTCTTTCCCTTGGTACGCAATTATGACCCAGGTAATAATCAAAATTTGACCAAAATCTGACCAATAATCAAAATAAACAAAATTTGACCAAAAGTAAAGCTCTGTTCCATTGGTAAAATCACCAGATAGTTTAGATCAGTGGAGGTCACCTGGTCTCATGTCTCGCCTCCACTCAAAGCAGGGCTGACTTTTGAAGATAGAGCCAATTATTTTTAACAGTGTTTTCTAAGAGAATCAGAGGCAGCTATGATACTGCCATCTAAATACCCCCTTTGCTGTCTCTTGTTTGCATGCCAAGATTTTGTGCAAAAAGGTGTTGCCTTTTTTAACGATTAATTTAGTTATTTCGCAACTCCCTCGTCCAGTTACAGATTTACTATAAGCCCAGCCATGCTGCCACATTGCCCTCGGTTTACAACAGGTGACTGATGTGAATATTTTACCTTCCTTCCTCTTTTTCTCTTCCCAGTGCCAGGATTTCCCTACCCCGCTGCCACTGCGGCCGCCGCGTACAGGGGTGCACACCTACGAGGCCGAGGGCGCACGGTGTACAACACGTTTCGTGCAGCAGCTCCCCCTCCTCCTATCCCAGCCTATGGCGGGTAAGGAGATCAACCTTTTTTCACCTGAGAGCATGAACCTCCAAAGGCTACGGGCTCTTCGGGGTGGTGGTGCATGCCGGTCGTGTCTCGGTCGCGGTGCTGGGAGTGGTGCGCCTTGCACGGAGCGTTGAAAAATGACTGTAATTTGTCCTGCCATGGTTGGTGGCCGTAAGCACTTCAGATGTCACATATTGTTATGTAAATGCTCTTGGAAGCTGAATGCTTTGGAACGGAGAAATTGTTTCGGCTGGAGATATATTTTTGATGATTGCAAGCATCTGGTTATTAAGGAGGTTGGATCAAGTTGACTTCTTTTTCTTCAGATCATCCACTCAAAGTTGTCTCTGGACCTGAAAGCTTGGTGGCATACTTTTTCATTTATCTTACTGGAGTTTGTTTAGTTTTTCTAGTTAAGCTCTTTATTGCAATAGAAATCTGGGGTGCTTCTCTCGGGGCCATGTGTTTTTCAGTACTTCTGCTTAAATAATACCTTGAGATTTCACTCTCAGCGGCCTACATTTACTAAAACGAAGTAGTAAACTAAGGAGCAAAGGAGAGAAATTTATAGGAAGAATTTCTAGAAACTCAGTAATCTTAGGTTATTTCAGAAGATTATTTTTTAAGGTATATTTTGAGGGGAAGAACAAAGAAACAACTTCCTGTAGCTCTGTAATTACTGCCAGAGAAGGGTTTTTTATGACACTCTAACATTGTCAAAAGATTTTCAGCAAATAAGAAACTGGGAAGTTTGGAAAATCAGGTAACAAACAGCAGATCCCAGGCCAGAATAATAGTTGTCATAAAAATCTGAAGCAGATATGCCATTGCCTCTCTGTGGAGCAACTGGATCTTTCTGAGGAAGAGTCGGGAAGGGTTGGCTCGCTGAGTGAGGAGGATCTCCCTCTCTCCATGCCCTCATTAAAATCCCTTTCAGCAGCTCATCTGCTCCCACTGCGCACATCCCCCTGTAAGGGAACTGGCAGCACAAGACCCTGTCCTCCTTCGTTTCCGTAGAAGATAGTTGCTCTTCACTGGTTCCCTCAGTTTCTCATGAAGCCTTTGTTCCGTTAAGCCAAATGGTGTCTTTTTCCAGACAAGTTTACTGATTTAGTCAGTGAGCCACTGAGCCAAATTTTCAGGGATATTTAAGACAGGTATTTTGGTCATTCCTTCACGTTGGGCAGTTACCTCCTCAGAGAAATACATTCGGAAAATGAATATAAAAATGATGCCACAGAATCAGGCTGTTTTGTAAAAGTGTATTTTATTTTTTTAAAAACTCAAGTGTTTTATGAAATTTAAGAAGAAAAATAATACTGGAGGAAGATACTATGATTTTTGAAGATGGTCTGAGTTACCTTTGGCCGAGGATGGTGTCCTACCAGCATTATCCTTCTGTTGCCCAGACTCTCATTTAGAGTAGGTCGAGGTATTTGTACCCGGCAATGAAGGAAACAGGTTAGAATGCCTTGCAAGAGAGGATTTCAACCTGAATGTCTCACCTACGAAATGGATACTGCATATAAAGAAAGTGTGGACTCTCTCCATCTCTACTTAAAAAGAAATTTAAGTAACTTATTTTAATTTAAGAGGCCTTGTGTTGGTGCTCTGTGTGCCCGTGTGTGTGTTATTTAAATTTTTATAGTTTAGTTAGTGCAGCGACTCTGCTGGAAGAATTAAATTTCTGAGTGTAATATCTATATATTCCCAGGTACTCCTACTGCCTACTTGTAGCAACTTTAGGTAGCAAGTTAGATGCAGAAGCGTTGTGAACTCCTGTTGTAACTTAATACAGAAGATCTGCAGTGCAGTCAGGTCCTGCAGCGTTTCAGAACTGGGTTCCAAGAGGTCAGCTGAGCACTTACCTTCTTCTGCAGGATGGTTTGCAGTTGGACACTTCCCACCTACTGCCTTCCTGACCTGTCCTTAAAGCTGACTTGGTCGGGAGCCACACGTCGCCACATTACGAGGTCACGTCCTCTCGTTGCTCTGGTGACGTCCAGCTGTCTGAGCTGAACCCTTGGTGATCTCGGGCTCCCCTTGGCAGTCAGTCTGCTTTCCAACCCAATTCAACTCTGCTAAAGTTTTCAGCTAATGAGCTTTATCTTAATTTAGATATGCCTTAGTGCCCATGTTAGCTCATGGGCAGTTAGTTAGAGTGTGGTGCTGGTAACACCAAGGTCGTGGGTTCGATGCCCGCTCGGTCCCCATGTGTTGCCTGATCTAGTTGAGAGGTGTCCCAGCCCATGACAGGGAGGTTGGATTAAATCATCTCTGAGGTCCCTTCCAGCCTAGGTCGTTCTATGATTCTACGATCTACCTATGCTTTATAATGAGGCACTGCATTTCGACGCACCAAACAAATATTTTGTAATTCATGGTTCAGTGCGGAAATAATACATACCTCGGTGCTGATCCATGCTTAAAAAAGCTTCATTCTGCAATAATTTATTTGGCCTAGTGTATTGGGGTCTTTTGCTATTAACTTCGCTGATACAATGGTGCCGTTTGGATTTCTGTGCAGTGCTTTGCTCTGTGCTCATCCATTATGTACTCTGGCCTATCAAAGAAGCAAAAAGGGATTTTCGTGGAAAAAAAAAATCCTTAATCAATGAATATAAATAATAAGAATGTGGTTTTCAGTCACAATAGGGATAGGAGTCAAGGAAAATTACAGAGATAATAAGGAGATCACAGAAAATGGATCAACTTACAGAAGGAAGCAAACAAGTTGGAATATCATTTGTTGATAAGAAAAACGGGAAAAGCTTTGAATGCTGTTTTGCAATTCGTTTAGTAGCAATTTCTCATTTTTCACTCAAGGAAGGAACCCAGTCTTCAAGCCATACAAACTGTTTCATATTAAAATATTATCAATCATTAATAAAAAGACATTTATTTTGTATGATGGGAGATACCTTTTAATTATAAATTGTCATTAAATTCCAGCAATGTTTAGCTAGAAAATACTACTTTTCTTTTAAAAAAAAAGCCTGCATCTATACAAAGCTGATGTCTGAAATTACTTTTTAAACTTTCCCTGCCCTGAAAGAAAAGCCAGCTTTTCTTTTGAGTCTTCCTTGAATCTGGAGTTGTTCATGTTCAGTGGTGTCCTGTTTGCTACGGACTGTGACCTTTTCTTAGAAAAGTTTATCAAGAAATTGAAGAAATGACAATGAGGCCCAAGCTGTGTGGAAAACTAGATCTTGTGTAGGTAAAGCAAGTTGGTGTGGCTCATATGGAAAGCTCTCTTTGCTGTGCCTCACTTTGCCAGGTCCAAGGAAAATTGTTGCTTATAGCCATTTTTGAGACTACTATAGTTTTGTCATAAATCAAAGAAGAGCACATATACTTTAAAATGTGTCATTTAAAAATGAAATCAGTGCTCATGAGATGTGTAGCACTACATAAATAATTAATGGATCCTTTACTTGCAAGTGAGACGTTTCACTAATTCCTTGAGATAGCGTCTCGTTTATTAGCCCATGGAAAATACTTCAATTTTAGCATCTGTGACATCATTTCTAATGCTTTGAAAAAACTACAATGTGCATTTTACTCGTAACTTGAGATGTGTAATTCATTTATGTACCATAAAAAACTACTGAAACTGAAATGAGGGAGTAAAGCTTCATTTGTCTGAGGAAACTCAGTGCTGAAATTTAAAGAGATCTTCATTGCACAGAGAGCTCGACTTCCGCACTGAGCTGCGGGAGAAGGAGAAGCAAGGGATGGTTGTGTTGTTTATGGCATGAGGTGCAGGGAGTCTGGAGTCCGTCAGGGTGGGAGGGTGTAGCTGTGGAGCTCTGAGCTATTGCTTATCTCAGGGGGCTCTTCCAGAACTTTACAGCAAGATTGTTTGGGGAGCAAAGAAGTTACTATTCTGAGCAGCCTAAATTCCTGTCAGACCTTCTTTCTTGGGAGAGCTTCCATGTGGAAGGATTTGAGTTTACTGCTTCTTTGAGGTTTCTTTCTTGCAGGCTTCTCTCTGGATACTAGTTAGTGTTTTTTTCAAAATAATTTTTAAATTATTAAAATTGAAAAAAAAAAAGAGACACCGATATAAAATCCAGTGTCTTTTGGCTTGACCTTTGTCTTTCTAGGATTATCCTAATAAAGCAGAAGCTACTAGTAAAGGTCTTATGACAGAATTTGGATGTGGTTGGCAGTACTTACATTGCCAAAAGAAAGGAGAAAGAAGCAGTTCTTGTTCTCTCTGGCACACTTCCAGAAGCAGGTGATCTGATTTTCATACCTGTAATTGCTTTTGAACTCTGCAGTAACTAGTACGTCAGCATTCTTGGAAATCATTTGCCAAATAATAAAACAGCAGGAAAGTGGTGCTCCATCTTACTGCTGCTGTCCAGAAAAGACAGTGTCACTGTGTATCTGGTAGCATAGGAGATAGTAGTAGTAGTAGTAGTAAACTGCACTATTAGTAGAGCTTCACATTTCCCATCCACTGCTCCCAGTTCTGATGAAGCTGAGAGAGAATTAGCTTTCAGTCTGTATCTCCACTTCTAGTGTCTTTCCTGGGAAAACAAGGGATAACAATATGTTTTTTCTCTTTGAAAAAAAGAAAAAAAATATATATATAAATAAAACCTCAACCCTAAATAAAATTGTGAAGTTTGAGAGTTTGGAGAAGTAACAGAGACTATTCAAAAACTCTTCTTCTTTTTTAAAAATAACTGTTTTGGAGTGTTACATTCTAACTGTAGCTTTATTTTCCAACACCTTCTTCTGAATTTAAGAAAGAAATATAATTTATATGAGCTACTGCATCTAATACGGTGGTTATGGGTTTTCCCAATACAGTTCTTTGGGCTCACAGAAACCTCCTCTGATATTGGACTCTGTGCTTTGTGTATACGTGCAATTGTTAGAGAAAAAAAAATGTGTTTTGCAAGAGCATAGTGATTTATGTCTGCCAGCTTGGTTCGCTGTAGCAATGCCCTCAATTAATTTTCCAAAGCAGCTAACTTGTTTGTGGCAGAAAATGTTGAAACTCAAAAGACAAGTTTCAGTTCTATATTTACAACAGTGAAAGTTGTGTTATTAGTGTTGAAAGGTGTTGCTTTAATTCTCAGTCTTTGTTTTCTTTTAAACATGCTTGTCTCTTCTATTATGTGTTCATCTAGGCTTCATAGGAAAGGTTTCATATAAAAGGAAATTTCCAAAAACTGGAAAAGCCATGTAGGGAAGTGAAGGGGACTCAAACAGCCATCAGGAAGCAAAAAAAAATTTGTTCCTCAGTGGCTTTTTCTCTTTAGTTTTGATGGAGGGGAAATAGCGAATTATAACCGTGATTGCCACAGCCGTGAATGAAATCACGATTGCAATGCCCGTTTGTGACACTGGAGCAGTCTCTCTGTGCACTTAATCGGCCGTAGGTTATTAACGTGGGGTTGTGCAGATTGCGTGCCCAGCTGAGGGCCGTGTATGCTCAGCTGCTGTGGAGTTACTGAACTAACGTTTGTGCAGTCAAGAACTGTCTTCTTATGTCATTGATAGATGATTCAACCCAATCCTTTTGAAAGATGAGGGTAGAAAAATGATAATGAAGACAGATGTAGTCCTCCCAGGATATTATAGAGGTGGAATCTAAACTAGTGAAGAGCTTGTCTTAATATAGTTACAGAAAATTATTATAAGACACCAAGACTAAAATAAAGCAGCTAAAACCATGCAAAGCAGATGCATAATAGCTGGTGAGAAAACAGTTTCATGTTTTTAGAAAAATAATTTCAGGAAATGATTGCCACATGCGATGTTATCGGAATGCACATTTTCTTATTAAACCAAGACTTCTCTTTTCTCTGAGTTTTCCTTAGCACAGCAAAATCATAAAAAGCAGCTGAACGCATCCCCCAAATTTCTTGCTCTTATTTTAATGCCTCCAGGTAGCCCATTGACTGTTCCTGGGTGAAGTACGTTAAGATGCAGTTGGACAGTTAGGAGAAAAGGCAGAACCCAAAGTACTTTCCCTCCTTCCCTGTCCCTTCATTCCCAACTCTGCCACCTCCTCCCAGCACGTGCGGTGCAGGGACAGGAGGAACTGAGGGCTCTGCCTCTGGGAAGCTCCATCTCCAGTAAACTTTGTGCCCTTTGTATGTCATCTCATGAAACTCTTGCGGTGTTGTTCATGGTTGTGTACTCCTACCTCACAGTCACATGGAGTGTTTTGATTCTTACTTGCAAACGGGTCTAAGAAAAACAGGTGATGTGTTAAACTAATCAGAAAACAAAGATATGCTACAGTGTAAATAGCAGGATTTCTGGAAGCTGCAAGCACAGACCAGGTTTGGCGTAGTTTGCTCCGCAGACATAATAAATAGAAAAATACATGAGGAAAGGTCTGACCTTACCGAAGCAAATGGCAGCCACTCTGATTTAAGTGGAGCTGAGTTTTCACACATTATTATTCCATAACAAACTTTTATCATCCGTGTGGTTTTATCAATGTGGTTTGTGTGCATGTATGCATATTTATGATTTTCTCAAGTGATTCTGACTTAGACACATACCAGCTCAGCCCTGTGGGTTTTGGTCATTGACCTCAATAGATGAGTTGTAGTTCTGACATGAAAATTCTTCTTAGAATTGCAAAACAGCCTTAGCTAGCAACTTGGTAATAACTTTTATTCCCAGATAATAGTATTCCTAAATTGAAAATATTGTTGAAAAAAACCCTATTGTGTGCTCTCATATTTAGCTCTCGAAACAGCTTAGGTTGATTCTGATTTTGGAAATACGTGTTTGAAGTTGCAGAACTGCCAAACGAATGTAAAAATGCAGGAATTCATGTAACGTGTGTAATTGGTAGGTCACTGTTGTGTTATTCCAGTTCTTTCTGGTGTAATGATTTAACCCATCTTTGTCATACTGTGTTGTTTATCGCGAAAAGTTTAGAATCTAAACTTGGAGAGGATGATTTATTTTAGCTGAAATGCAGCAGTCTCTAGGTAAACTGGTAACAGCAATATAACAATCCTACGTTTTCTCAGCTAAGAAGTAAGTAGTAATATGTCCAACCCAAACTGCAGGGGAGCTCAGAACCATGGGCACGTTTGCTGAAGCTATAAAATGAGAAAGTGAGGCAGGATAATACTTTTTTTAGTAAGAATAATGCCATGACATTCTTAACAGACCTGTTGTCACTATCAAAAATGTGTATCGAGCCAACAGTGCGGTACCTGTGAGTGTCCTCATCTCTGTGTACATTGAGGTATTGAGATTTGACCCAGTGGGTAGCATATCACCAGTTTAATTATTTCACACGTTACTCTCACCATATAAACTTCTGCCGTGTTTTGTTTTCCATCTCAGGAATGACAACTGCCACTTTGTTTCAGAGGGTTGACATAACTGCAGGACAAGAAAGTAGTAGATCAAGAGACAGCATTTTGTTAATGTATTGAAAACGATTTTAGAATTGGCCCACTGAATTCTTTTAATAGAAAAAAGCTGCCAATGTGTAGTTGCTTAAAAAACCCCAAAAACGCAAACAAACCAAAAACCAAAACAACAAGAAATGAACCAATAATGAAAAAAACAATAAAAAATACAAAACAACAAAAGTTCAAATGTTATCACGAGTATTTTTCAATCCTGCCGTGCTTTGCCTCTCTTTGACTAAGCATTTGGCATACTGTATACGATGATGTATTTGGTACAGTTTCACTTCTGATAATTCCTACCAACCTCCTTAACCAATGTGAAGAGTGCCTTCCTTCCCCTCCCTCTGTTCTTGTGACAACACTAACCTCAGCTGTGCAGGGGTTGGTGGCATTTGCATGTGGAAATGCACTAATATGGATGTTTTTCTTTGTGTGTGCATCCTTGCAGTGTTGTATACCAGGATGGATTTTATGGTGCAGACATTTATGTAAGTATTCATTGATGTGCATGCTGTCCTTGTACATTACCAGAGTCATTCTTTTTACAAGTTTGCTGCCTAGCTTGACTCTGTTTTGTCTATTTACCATCCCTTGCCTGTCAGAAAGAATTGAGAAGAATATCTCTCACATTGGAAGACCTTTCTGTTCATTACATCTATCATTGTTCAGTGGAGCTGAATTAACTCTTCAATCAAATGCTGAATGAATGCAAAAAAAAACGTGAAAAATGTACATGTGTGTGTGTGGAGGAGTGTCTTCCTCCAAAACTGAAATTAAAAGAAAAGAAAAAAAAAAAAACAGAAACGTTATTCTGCAAATCCCTAAAAGCTCATTTTTAAAAATCAAGAAAAACTGAGTGTTGTTGATACCCGAAGTATGAAAATACTTTGTGGGGAGATACAGGTTTCCCAAATCCAGCAACACTGGCTATACATAAGTGCCAAGGTGATAGTAGAGCCTATTTACATAAAAAGCTGAAGATATATACAATATACGTATTTATATATTTACTGATGGGTGTATTTGTTAGTAAGGATTTATACCCCTGGATCAATCGTTACCTACGTCACCTCATTGGTCACTAATTTCTTTTCAAATATTTTTTTTAAGTTTCTTATCACTGCTGAAGTTTTTTACCTTGAACATATACATAGCAAATACTTAAGTCTGAGTATGCAAGAGGTTTCAGGGGGTTGAGGCTGAACATCACTCTTCTAAAATAATTAATTCTTATACCTTATGTGTAGATATAAAATATTTTCCTGATACTCCAGTCATCTTTCACATTTGTTATTGTTTGGAGAAAGCAGTTGGGTCCTAAGCTACAGGTGTCATTGTTTCACCAGACAACTTTCTCTACCTTACTTGTGTTTCTGTTGTACCGTCTCTGTGGGCATACAAAGGGATGGACGAGTTGAAATTGGCATGAATATGAGAAATTCAACGGGTAGTGCTAGAAAAGATTCCTTATATTTGTTATCAACAATTTTTTCCAAGGGAACAGATTTTTTAAATTTTAAATAAAGAAGGAAAGCAATGAATTTATGGATGAATTAGGTTGTGGTTTTCTGGTAGAGGTAGAAAGAGACTGATATCTATTTGAAAATTCATTTGTGTAGATCAAAAATATATTTAAAATAAATTAGCATGGGTTAAAATTCTCTTCCTATGTACTCTTGTACTTAGTGATCAGTACCATATTGTTTACAACACGAGAGTCGCCCATTTGCCAAAGGCTCACTTAAGTGTAGTATGCGGCTCTAATCTTACCTAAACACACTGCTGCGGAATTTTTGAGCTGTGTAGGATACACGGTACGGTGTGGAAGTTCTTCAAGTGTAGCTTCCAATTTTCCCGTTCCTTCAAACTGTCAAAAGAATGAGAAATCCATTTTGCTCGGTTTACCAACGCGAAAATCTGAAAGGCAACAAGACATCCTTCTCAGGATTGGTTAATGTGATAGTACAGTGAGAACTAAATGTTCGTGTAGCAGTTCATAGTTTTGGAACCCACTGCTGCTGAAAAACAGGAATGATTGGTGATTGACAATATTGTTTTTGGATGGCCTTACACCCTCACATGGACTGTAACATTTTGTTTTCAAATAGAAAAAGATTTCAGTGAGGAAGATGCTGAAGAAATTACTAATTTTTAGCAGAGCCTCATTTTTGTTGCCTGGAATAGTCAGTTATTCCATTAGAAAATGGAATAACTATAGTGGTGCATTGGTTTTCACTCAGTGGCAGCCTTGTATTTCCAATTACATTTTTAGTTCTCTTAATGCAGCAGAATGTTTAGCTTTACAGCAGTTGACAGACTTAAAACAATCTTCTGGAAATTTGCTTGATATTTTACAACGTATAAAGCTTCTTATTTTATGATTTTTTTTTTCACATTTGTTCTTTCCTGCATATAAAACATTTTGCAGGGGAGGGAGAGAGCAATGGAGAAGTGGCATAAATCAAAAGAAACCTCACAGTTCACAGTGTATTAGTTCTTAGTGTATTAGTTTGCAGCGGTCCAAGTTATTTATTAAATCTCAATTGATTATGACATAGTTCTACTTAGCCTTTCGTTTTAAGCCCAGAGCTGAAGCTTTGTGAAAGAATAAATGGTTTGTGGATAAAAAAAAAAAAGGGAGGAAAAATATTTCAGCAATATGGGTTTTAATAGTAGATTGGAGACAAAGAACCTTGACATTACCACAGATAGCAAACTGAAAGGAAAGTAATATGGACCATGCTAATCTTTTCATAACTAGCTGTCCATATAGCCTTTGATGGCTAGATTTTGTGGAAAGGAAAGATACTGGTTGGGTAAAAACTGCAGTGTGAACCAAGAACAGCAAGTAGCCAGAGTTGCTTAATAATAACCAGAGGAACAGAAGAGAATATGAATTTAAAAATAGGTGGAAAATACAGTTTAAAATGAAAAATAAACAGCCTTGATTCTAGATGTAATATAATACATTTTATATTTCATACAGTTTTATATGGAATGTAATAATGCTGCTGAAATAGCCGAGGTATTGAATTCCTTTTCAAATGTGGCTTTGAGTTGGAAGAATAAGGAAGATGATTAGGGAAGTAAGGAAGACCTTTCAAAATTAAGTATTGATTCGCTAAGAGAAAAAGTCATTAAAAGAGAATTAAGGTTGCCTGCCAGCAGATACAGAAGTTCCTAGATGAAGATTGACACCTGTGAAAATAAGAAAATACACTCCACAAAATGAATCAAAAATAGTAACAGGCAGAGAAATATTCGGTTAGAATAATAGCTCTACGCTATTGCTCTGCTTTATTTTAAATCTGTTTGGTTTTTTTTACCATTGTCATAAAGAACTTTTTCAGAACATGTCAGTCTTCAGTCCACACCTAAAATGTGAGAAGGCTAAGAAATAGGAGAAAATTCCAGACTCTCATCCCCAGCTCCAGCAGTCCCTTGGTCCTATGGTTTGACCACGTACGTTAGTCAGTTGTGTTGTTCACAGCACGATTTTCTAACGTGTTCTCAGGATTCTGGACCCCTGTGATACTGCAGCTGCTGAGAGTCTGCCACAGCATATAGGCACAGAGGTTTAAGATTTTTTTTTCCTGGAATTTTTTTGTCTAAGCTGATCTAGAATAAGGCATATACTTTTGTGATGAGGGCTATGCAACGAGATTATCAATAGCTACTGCCATCCCCTTCAGCTCTAAGGTAAGATGGTATTGAGGGTGGAACATGTAATTATTTCCCAAGGAATAAAAGCAGCTGTCATTATCTAAGGATCGTAGGTAGCTGTCCATCGATGCGATCAGATACCCTGAAAGGCGCTGCTCGAATGTGAAAAGCAAGGACACGCAGTTAGCACTGAAGTCTTGCTTCTAAGTACCAAGGCAAATGAGCTTAGTGTTTTGTAGATGGAAGGATGTGCCGTTTCCGCTGACTCAGAAACAGAACAAGTAGAGAAATGACTTTTCCAAGGGCAAAAGAGTCCCCAAGGACTCCTGGTGCTCTATGTGCTGGAACGCTCCGTGGTACCTTTTAAAAACTTTAGAGATCTAGTGATGAAATGTCGTTTCATCTCTCCTGATCTTTATTTATGATATAAACAGTACGTTCAAAAAAATGCTCCATCAGTCCTGGTGATTGTATTTGGTTGGAATTAATACAGGTGGTGTCAGTATGGGTACATCACCAGAGCTTCTCTGAGGCAACAGATACCTCTGGGAAGTGTTTTATTGTCATTTTATGATATTTTTTATCTTTAATTCTCCCAGTCAAAAGTTTTACTCCAAGAGCAGAAAAAAAAATAGTTTAAACCTCAGTATCATATGAGTGGAGGAAGAGGAAATGACTCCTGCTCTCTCTGTTCTGCAGGGCTGCTGGGTATCATTCATGCCATCTTTAATCCCATTTCTCTATTTGTAGCTAACAAGGCCAATATAATTCTCAATACTAGAGAAGGTTTTGAACCTTGATTAATTTGTGTTTACAGAATACTTTGAGATCCTTGAGTGGAAGGAATTACAGGAAGTAAAAAAATGAGGAAAACTATTTCTCAGCATTCACAGAGTGTCTTAAATATGTTAACAATAGGGAAAAATAACAAAAAATACCCACAATTTAGAGTCACTTAGTTTATCTCTATCTACAGTAAACTGTCAGTACATCTGAGGTCAAGATAAGAAAGTGATTTAGATATTTTAGGAGAAAGGGCATGCATGTACACATGATTTTGTAACCAATAGCTGTGTGTTTGTATAGCTTGTTCTTGTGGAAATTATTCTTAATACAGATACACAGTCCTTATTTTAAAATGCAGGACTATTTGTTTTTCTGCTCATATCCTGCCTAAAATTGCTGCAATTCCTCTCTAAAATTGATTAAGATTTCTCCATAACAATTGGCTACCGATATCTGACAGACCCACAGCTCTTCTTCAATTGGCCTGAGACACGGAGATATGTGAAACATAGAAAGGAAAACTGTAACGAGTTGCTTTTTCTTTCCATCCTTCTTTCCTTACTCATTCAAATCACTGCATTCCTGTTTCTTTATAGAGCAGTATTGCAAGAGCCTGTGTATGGCTATTGGTATGACGCACCGACAGGTGGGAAAAACTCAATAAGCTGAATCTAGACTCTCCTAAAAACATACTAAAACTCAAACAGTTATGTGAGAAAACGCATTCTGTGCATATAAATGATAAGAGTAGCCTACGAGTTGCATTTTATTTTCCAGATTCTATCACAAAATCACAGATATTTACATGCCATGAAATACAACAGTTACTGTTGTGAGAGTCCCATTCTGTATTTTATGCCAGTGAGATGCATCTCTGTAGGTGGACTGCAAGTGTATTGACTCTATACTTATTTTTTTTAAGACAACTTAAGCTGCTGTAAGTTTTCTCTTATCAGGTTTTTGGAAGTAGCAAATATGGGAGCACAGATAAGGCTGTAGGCACCTTTTCATTATTTTAGCTGAATTTATTATCTCAGCTGAATTTTCGAAATAATAATTTCAAGCATAACAGGTACTTTCCGTTCGAATGTACCGAGGGAGGGAGCAAGCCATTTCCCAAACATTTCTAAAATATAGGAACTGAAAATTTTTATTTATTCTTATGTAATTATTACATAATTTTGTTCTAAATATTTTATTTTGCAATGAAGTCTAAGGCATGAAGATAAATATTTAATACATTACTCAAGAGATGTATATGCAGAGAATATTGCTAGCATATTCTTCTTCTAAATTATGAGCCAAGATCAAAATTAGAGAAAAATTGTGAAGCAGAACTTGTAGTGGAAGTTTAGAGTTCAGGGGGTTGAATTAGATTCTCACCCTGATTCTCAATATTGAGCATTTTGTTGCTGCAATGATAAATCACCTGAAGTAACTCGAGTAAAACAGTAAGAAAATTTAGTACCACTCCAAAACTGAGGAACACAAACCCCATAAAAGTAATGTTTGTATGTGCAATTATATGTTAGCTTATGTTAAAAATATGAAATTGTGACATGGACTGGTGGGGAGTCATGATTTTTCCTGATAACCAAAAACATCCTGTTTTTTGTTCTTCAAAGAATTCAGGCAAATTCATTAACTTTGATTTTATTTTTTATTGCTTTGCATTCATTCTTTCCCAAACTCTTACAAAGGTCGTACTGATTGTTGAATCCAAAGTATCTTAATAAAGTTCAGAGCTGAGCTTCCTTTCTGAGCAGCGATTCTTGGATGAAAGCAAATCAAAAATGAAAGTAATTCTTCTATTTAGGGGCAAGACAGGGTCCGTCTTCACAGACGGCCCAATTGTTAGTGATAAATACACAGTCCTCAGCGAGCCTACAGTCTGCAGGTTTAGGCTCAGGTTTAGCCTCATCACTGCCTGATCAAAACCACCGAAACATCGATCTGCGCTGTCCCGTGGTGCGAGGCATTACGTGTGTAGCTGGGTTGCAGTGAGGTGGCTCCCGCGTTTCACTAGGGTTTGGAAATGGATGGTGGGACAAGCGAAGGAGCGATGCACGTGGCAAAGAGGAAGGCGTGGTGCCGCAAGGCGGCTCGCAGTCTGCCCCACATTCTCAGGGCTGGATCATGAAAAGAAATTTAATATCTTTGTAGTTTTGACATTTGTACTACTTCATATCTACACTCAGAGAGGAAAAAAAATTGATAAAAAGAAACAATGTTATATTTAGCACTTCAGAACCAGGAGGGGAGAAGAGAAAATGTCCTTGGAGCAGAAGCCAGACCAAGTGTGCCTCTTGCCTTGCCACCTCTCAGCCTTGCTGCTTGCTGGCCTGGTTTGCACTCGGTGACATCATTTGACACCTGATTACCTCGGTGCACGTACCTGCAAGCAATATGTGCCCATTATGCATTTTTGACAGTAATAGCCTTCTATTAGTTTGTAAAAATCGAATGATCTGCAATGAGAAAGTCTTTTGCCTCCGCGGTTCTGTGCTTGCCTGGAGCAGCTGCGAAGGAGGAGAGGGCGTAGAGGAGCCCTGCCTCCTTCCCGTGGTCGTGGCACAGTGGCTGCTGGCAGGGAGCTCGCCACGGGTGAGGAGGGAAGTGCACGGGGCTCTGTGGGAGCACTTGCAAAAACTCAGAAATTACGTTCCTCAAGGAAGCTGACAGTGCAAAGCCTGGAGTTGCTAATGAGCTGTCAGTGTATGTAAAATATATGTTTATTCTTAGGGTGTTGTGGCGTTATCAGCTGCATGACTGATTTCCAGAACCAACCTGCTCCAAATCTTCAGGCCAGCAAAGGTTTCCACATTAGGGATGAAAGTGATTCTGCCAAGCAAAGTAGCAGAAGGGGAAATAGCCTGTAAAAGTAGTTGAAAATGCTTTTCTGAAAGGAGTAAATTTTTATTTGTATAATCAAAATAGAAAAACCTTTCCAAAGTTCCTGCAGTAGAAGTGCGTTGCTCTTGCAGTAAAGGTTCACACATCATAGCCTATTCTTCAGCCTTCCAAAAAAGAAAAAAAAACCAATCAATCCATTAAACACTTTAGCAAATGAGTGAATTTTGTTGAAAGCCGAGCGATCTGATTCGTATTCAACTCTTTGTGAAGGTGCAAAAGGAAACACGCAAGTCCCCTGTCCCAGAGGACTATGGGCTGGTGAATTCTAATTGGGACGTAAATCGTGTTTGTGTTATCTGTGGAGACTGGCCTGTGTCTGTTAATTGGCATGCGGAGATCATTCCGAAATGGTTGATCTCACGCCGTGGTCCATTGAGCAGGAAGCTCTGCTGTTTTCACAGTTTGATAATCAATGCATCGCTGCACACGATTCCTTTCCAATGTGTGTTTGTTTGTCCTGTTTGCTTAATTGAACATCTGCAATTACTGTTACATATAACTGAATGTTAATTCATGGTGGGAGAGAATTTTCCTTCTTCATTATAATTTTATGTATAAATTGGAAACCTATGTAACATTACATGTTAGTTAAGTGCACAGATTCATAGGCTTAAGCAACTGGACATGATAAATCATGTCCTATACAAAAAAAAAGGGAATTGATTATTATTAGCTGAGTTTTTATTTTAAGTTTATTAATGTTAATATACCTCATTCATAAAAACAATTGCTACTTGAGGAAGAACGTGGTGCTCTCTTGCAAAAACCACTTGCATTGATGAATACAGTTCATTGCTTTCTCCTGATCTCTGGGACAAATCTTACTAAGTTTCTGGTGAAAAATTGTGCTTAATGATTCACCGAAGCACTTCCCTGTGTATTTAACACCTTAACGGAACCTACAGCATGACAGTGCTCTTGTTAAATTTTGCAAAATGTTGTTTAAGGTGCTGTAGCAACCCAGTTAGAGCGTGAGTTTGTGTTTCAGGGTGGTTATGCTGCCTACCGGTATGCCCAGCCTGCCACTGCCACTGCAGCTGCCTACAGTGACAGGTAAGACCTCCTTTCCTGCTCCTAAATATCTGACCAGTGGAAGTCGAAGATGATTCTATAAATTTGCCTTGTTGAAGTCTCATAACTGTCTTGTTGCTCTGCAGATAACTGTGGTATCTAAAGCAGGCCGTTTTATTATAATCCATGAATAGCCATAAATTGAGAGATTTTGGGGCTTAATTGAGAATCAGGCATTAGATGTGCACATTCGCAAACTGTAGATCATCCACTTAATGTCTGTGACCCTTGTGCAATGTAGATAAATATACGTACAGGTTCATGATGGCCTGCCACTAAAGATCATTATTCGTCTTAGGAGTATTGTTTCAGTTGATTTAGAACCTGAATCTATTGAGTACCCTCAATTCTCATTGACATTGTTTTAGTCAGTGGAAATTGAGAACGAACTGTGTCTAAGTTCGAACTATCCAAGGCAAAACAATATTTTTTCCATTTGCTTTCTTCCCAGACATTTGATTTTTTGAAACGCTGGAAAAAAATAAATTAGTTATTCTTTTGCTCTGTTTTTTTAATCCTCAGAATGTAAACCACATTGGGTGGAAATAATACCAGGAATAAAAGATCATTAAAATCTGCATAAGAGAAACATGCAAAGACTTAACTTCTAAAAGCAATGTCACGTAAATTGTCTCTTGCGAGACAAAAGTTGAAGTCAATGTCTAAATTACTGTTGACTTCAGCA